TGATGGCCTAAAGGATGCTTTTTCTGGGCACCTCATGGGCGACACAGCGGAGAACGTGGCTCACCGGTGGGTCTTGATGTTTCTTAGTGTGCTTGCGCCTTAGCAATTTGTCTGGCTTCTTTTGCAATCTTAACAAGATGCAGACTACTTAGACGTACAGTATTTTTTTAATCAGGATTTCCCATTATCAGTGCCTGTCACCCTTGCTTACCTGGATAAGGGTGACTTGCATGGCCACGGAAACAGTAACCGTCTACAATGCACGTGACTTTGTTCCAAATTTCGGGATATGAAGTTTGGGGTCAATATGAGGGTTCAAAGTTGGGCCTAAGGTTAGGGGTCAAGGGTTTGGGTTCGTGTTAACTGTAGGATTTAGGTTTAGTGTAGGACTAAGGTTAAGGTTACGGTTTAGCTTTGTGTTAGGGTTATAACATGTGAGTATCTACCCTTCCCGCAATTTATTACAGGGTCGCTTATTTTAAGTGAGTGGGGCGTTCATATTCCCGTCTCCTGTGTAGGAATCCTTACCCTTACGTTTCTTAGCTGTCACAGTAAAACTACTGTCCTTTAAATCCCAGGTTAAACATGGAACTGGTATTTCCTTAAACTCAGTTGTGCCGTTTATCCAACGGAAATCTCACAAAGACGCCAGAGTTCCGGAGGAAACATTTTAAGGGCATGTCTAATTCAGCGCAACGTACTAGTTGCCTTCTGGCCAGCCTTCTCACTGTTCTGGCCGCATCAATTTCGCGTTAGTCCACATGCTCAGGTCTTTGTGCGTTTCCACATCTTTTAATACAGTATTGTTCGTAAAATTCCGGAGAGCAGGCTATCAGAACGAAGGCTATTTAAGTGGAGAGAAGACTACACAAACAACGTCAGTCCTTAGTGGGGCATAAAAGGAATGAATTTGCTGATGCCAAGACTTGTATTCATTTTCCGTTTGTTTATTAGTCAGTAATGAGCGCTTGGGTAGACAACGGTTGGAACAGGTTGACAGTCCCAATATCTGCATTCTCGAATTTCAGGATGTACATACATTTGATCTGGGATTGTGAATTCCAACACTAAAAATGGTAGCCCACCATATTTGCTCGGTTTTTGCACAAACGATAGACAGTTACCATTCCAATCAGCGCAACCCATTTATACTACTGGCCGAGAAAAAGTGAATTACTACTGGGACCAAGAGCTGGTGACCATCAGGTCAGCCACCTCCTCACGTCTCTGCCTAGTTTTTTTTAACTTTGTCGTTTTATACTCTCTTTTCTGTCGGCGTGACCCAGTTTCAAAATTTCGCGGGAGCAGCAGGATGCATTTGCTTTGGCATCGCAGATGAAATGCAAGGAAGCCATGGAGCGAGGCCTCTTCTCAGCCGAAATCATTCCAGTTCCCCGTCCTACTTCTTCTGACCCCAAAAAGGTAACTATATTCCCACATGCCTTCACCGAAATGCCTACCAGATCACCATTGCAGGGCTTTGCTGAAGAAACCTAGGTTGACTCGCTTTCTCAATTTACTCAAGCTGTTTTACCCACCATTTATATTCTCGGAAAATGGGTTTGTACTCTCCGGAGACCCTACTGTTCAACTGTCACAGTTGCACAGGAAATCCTGCTTGGGTAGTCAGCTTACTGTATCAGAATTTGTGCATTCCATAGTTTGTAGTAAGCTGGGCCCGTAACTTGTCGCAATAAGGATTAAGCTCATGGCAAGTAGTTGGCCTCGTAACTCCGGTAGTCAGAGCGTTGGCTGTATTGAAGCCCCCTCTTGCTGTCGTGGGTTTGAGCCCCACGGAGGTCGCAAGGTTTTTCACAAATAACTTATAAAGTAGTTCATCGAAATTAGTATGTCATATCGTCAACTTAACCACGAGCGTTTCTGTCGGTTTGGTTGAGGTACGGAATTCTTTTGCGCACAAGGGACCGGGTTACTTTGGTGGATTCCTGTTACTACCGTTTTGGCTAGTAGCACTGTCATGGCAACCTCCGATCGTTTGGTTGCGCTCTGTTGACTACAGAACGTATCGAAGTTTATCACAGATTTCTAGTCACCCACAAACCAACATTAACGGATGGACTACAGCTTCGAAATGATAATGGTAATAAGAAACGACTTTAAGCGAATTGGGAAATCCCAATTTTTTTAGAAAAGCTGTAAATTCCAAAATTATAAAAAGTCGCTGTAGCTGAGCAGGTCTGCATGTACAGAAAACCTGTCCAAGTAAATAGATCATCACAGTAAAACGTCTGAAAACAATCCTTTACGTGCGTTTTCACGTAAATAGCATTCAAGAATAAGTGCAGTGCCAGTGATGGCCTCCTAACAATCATCTCAATTTACATTATCTCGTTTCATGAGATAGACCACATACAATTGAACCTCGGTTATTGGGTGTAATTTGTTTCAGCGCCGAGCTCGTCATGTGAAACGCTCGTCTTGCGAAATGTAGCCAATAAAACTGCATCAGTTCGCTCATTGGCTGCAGGCGACCTAGGATCCACGCCCCAGAACCAAGACTCAATGGCGGACACACACA